GGCTATCATAAAGACTGTTTAACAATGCAACAAAACAATCCAGCTGAGAGTACTGCTATAAACTGCAGCTATTATGTGAATTGAACATATTAAGGTTTTATTACACTAACGTAGTAACGGCTTAATGTATCAGGTCATGTCTGGTAGGATTTAGGGTCCTACAATGATTAGACCTTTGTAGGGTACTATAAAAAAACAAAACTAATACTATAAAAAAGTGTATCCTATCTGGGATTATGACATAGTTGTATAGTGCCCTCACGTGGGGGGTTGAAAAACAGCAAACCAGCTCTACTGGAAAGTCCTACCGCCAATGAACTACTAAGCAAGAGTCTCAGCCTAGTAAGAAGAAAAGAAGTAGTAGGCCAAAAGGTAATGTAAGGACAGCAACCGAGCTTAAGACTTACCTGATGTATTTTTGTTGTTTGTTTTTTGTTGTGCAGTGAGGCGACATTCCCGCCAGATTTACCCCTGAAAAAGAAATTGTACATGATTAAATATTAGCACATCAGCACTTAACAACAATAATAATAGCACTGAATTAGGCTAGTGATCCATAAACAGAAGGGCTTACTTTAAATAAACTTTAGGCTCAGTTACATCCATTAACTCCATGTGGCAGCTTGATAGCATGCAAGCTTATTTATGCTAACTATGAAAGCTGTAATAGGATGACCAGACGTCTCTGTTTACCCAAGACAGTCCCAGTTTTGAGCCCTGTGTCCCCTGTCCCAGCAGATTTATCCAAAACCATGGATTTGTCCCACTTTTATACAAGAAATGTCCCAGGTGTCCCTACTTTTAACCTGTTTGATCCCTGCCAACAGTAATGAGAATCATAAATTCACATCTGTTTAAGTAAAATACAGAAAAGCTTCTTAAATATTACAAAACTGAGAAAATATGACTATACTGACTCACATGTTAGTAATGAACGAACCGAGTGCAGAACAGTTTTCCATAATTACGCACTTGTTTCACAATTTTATTATTACCATCCAACCCAAACCGGGGTGTCCTAGTTTTTGATTTTGAAAATTTGATCACCCTAACCTGTGACCTACGTTTTCAAGGTAATATTTTACACTGGTGATGTATATGATGCCGTACAGATACACTGTTTTGCATTTTTTCCATGTTACCATAAAAAAAAACTGTAGATGCAAAGCCAATCTTCTGCTTCGAGGAACGTGCAGCGATGTCCTATTCTTTCACCGCCAGAGGGCGCCCATGTGTAACTGGTCATAACTGGTCACGAGTCATCTTTCAATAAATCCATGTAGCTGTAAGGCTGTAAGTAGGCTTCATGGGCGTATAATAAGAGATAACAATTGTAGATTTCAGAAAAAGAAAAAAACAACACACAAAAAAGCGTGTTATGTTGTCAAGAATTTATATCCTGGGCCTGGTGGGTCTTCAGCTCTTAACCCCTCTTTTGCTCTATATGGATTAACTTTACCTTACAACTATCATGGAGGCTTGATGTATACATCACCAAGTAAAAACAATGTTTGATCAGCTTTTTACCATGTTTAGTTTAAGTGCGTTCACACTTGTCATGGTTTTGAGCTCAGTTTAGTTGACTTGATATGGTCTTGTTTGGTCCTGTTCTAGCCCTGGTTTACACCTGGTCAAGTCTAGGTCTATTCCCGGGTTTAGTTCAGTTTTCATGTGGTAGGTGCTCTAGAGCATTGTTTCCCTAAGACTGGGTCATGATACTCAGGTGGGTCACAAGTGATTTTTTTTGGGTCGCCTTGTCTGCATGTAGGTCTGCAATATACAGTTCTGACACATGTTGAAATGTTAAGACATGTTGGTTCAATTGAATATTGAAAAGAAAAAGAAATGGGCTACATTTAACGTTCAAATAGGCAACTTATGGATACCTTTTATTGCTGGTTCAGTTACTGTTTTTCATTGTTCAAAACTTGAGTAATATTAAGTGTTCAGAGAGACACGATCACTCAGTCAACAATAAAATATCCTCATTAATGTTCAATAATGGTCAAATCCACCAGAAAAAAAACAAACCTTGTGAAACACTGTGCAAGCATATGGATGTCGACTAAATATTAAAAGTATGTTTTGAGCCATATTGTAGCCTATTAGTTTTTCAGACATATATTTTAAGGGTTAGGGTTAGGGGGTTATAAGGAGCCTATTTATTCAAAAGTCAATTCAAACACTTTTTGTTGTTTTAGAGAATGTTATAATTACATGCAGATATACTGTATATGCTGAATTATGTAAAATGACTGTTGACATAACATCAGCAATTTGTATTAAGTGACCTGAAAACTTTGTATCAAGTAATATGAAAACTTTGCTGCCGTTTTCTAGGCACCCGCTTCGTGCTTTGGATCTTGGCCTCATGCTCAGCCCATCGCAGTGCTTATTGGTAAGTTTTAATCTAGTGTCTTTCCAATGTCACAAGTACCCTCTCAGGTGTTCATCATAACATCTCACACGTTTGTATTGTTTGTTCAAATAACACTTTACTGTGATGTACAGGGAGTAGTCTACATCTATAAGTATGCCAGTGTCATTTGTGAGCTTATAAAAGTTGTGTTAATGACCAGCTTAGCTTGTGAAATTCACACAGCTTCCCCCCTTAAACTGCGTGTGCTTGGTTCCTGCTCGTCTTTTCTTCCTGCTTCTCATACATCTATGATACCTTAAATTACACATATTATTATTGTCCGGTGTGCTGCCAAGACTTTAAGAGGATCAAGATGAGAGGAGGGGGGCATTAAGTGAAAATAAACCCCATGCTTTGAAGCCCGCCTCAGCCTTTCCAACCAAAAACAACCGGCTGGATTTTTATCACAGCCCAGATCATGCGAAGAGAAAACATTTTAACTGCAGTAGCCTTGGCTTTGACCTGCAGAGAGGTAAGTTTAGTTCTCCAAAATCATGTACTGAAATAGGTTCTTTCTCCTCAGAGGTCCTTCAGGCTTGTTTGGTTCCTTCCCGTTTGATTTAGTTACTCCCGTCTTTGGTGGCAACCCACACGCCGCTCATCCTTCTGCACAAAAAAACAAAAGGAAATTCACAAAGGATGTGATTGTTGCACTGCACTTCTCTTGACGACTGCTGCATTGAACAGATCCATATTGCATGAGTTAAATGAATATTTCCGTGGGGGAGTGTGAGATTATGCAGCCTTCAGTGTTGCATTTAGAACTAAAAATGTTCTGATTTGGAAATGTACTAATAATTATTATGATAAAATGTCATTATAATGAAAATATAGACTAGCTTGCTGTTTTTAACCCCTGCTGATAAACTGCCTGGATTCAGGTTCAACAAATAGTTTAGTCATTTGTAGCATTTGTAGTATGTTATTTGTATTTTTGGTTGAGTCCTGAATAGTTCAGTTGGTGGAATCAAAATGTGTGTCTTAAGTTCTAAAGATCAAAAATGGGTCAAATGTTTTGTCAGGATTGAATTCATTAAAGCTTTGGTTTCTGATCCTGATTCTGGTCTTACGAAGATAGCCTGTTAAGACTGCATCTTAATTAGAATAGGCTATTTTGTTACTGGTTACAAAAATAAGATGCTTAAATTTCCAGTGCTGGCCACAAGTGTGCTTTAGTCACGTTTGATAGTCTATAAGATAGGCATATCACATTAAGTCCTTTTATATTGTATGTCTGTCTTTTTTTCTTTCTTTATGTCAAACATAAGTCCCCATGAGCCACCCTTTGCGTTTGTTCGGTATCTGTCCTGGAGCCTGCGCACTTTGTGACGCGGATGGGCTATACTGAAACCACACAACGCGCGGCCTGCTTCAAATCTGCAGACATGCGTGATGAATTTGGAAAATGATGTGCAGCTCCCTGGTCCTGTCCAGGCCACCCATCCCGGACCCAGACCCACGCCGCGGGCCATCGGTGCGATTAGAGGCAGGAAATGTGGGAATCCCCAACAAAGGGCTCCATCATTAAACACAAATAAACGTAGACTCCCAACAATAGCCCTCTGGCCCGCTCACTCGCGCACAGCTCTGCGTCCTGCACCATGCACTTTCAAGTCTCAGACGTGAAAATCCCACTTTGATCCGGTATCAGCGGCCAGCTCAGCTGGGCCATATTAGCCAGATTTAGGCTACTTTTGGACGGGACTTTGACTGAACTCCGTGGAAAAATGAAAATTTTCTCACATCAAGAGTATTTAGCCTTTGGCCTAATTACTGTGAATTCATTAAGCTTTGGCCTAGGCCTATTATAACTTTCACATGGTCTATCAACGCATAATAAAGTTTTGATGAAATATGTGCGCGCTCTGTGCACTTTTTTCCAGATTATTTATATCTCCTATTACTTAGCTTGGCCTGTAGTTTATGTCCTTTACCAAATCAATCAATGAAGATGACCCTCATAGCCCGCGCTCCATTCTCGTTGCTCTGTTAGTTGAATTTCTTTTCCTATATGCACACACAGTTTTTAAGTCAAGTGTGATCACTCTGGTCTTAGTAATTATTTTTTAGGTCTTATAAAAGGTTTACTTTTAACAGTTATATGATTGTTTATGACTATACAAAACGGTTAAGGGCCAGAGCGCGTGTGATGTAGCCTATAAATAGCCTACAGCCGAAGGCTGATGCCAGGATTTCACTCTCGCGCTGGTCCAGGCCTCTTTGCTTCTTGAGATGTGATTGGTCAGGATGCTCTTCATCATGCCTGTGTGACATCACATCCCTCCTGCCGCAGCCACGCAGAGCAGTCTCAAAGGATGCAAGATTTTTCCGAGAACGCACCTTCTCCTCTGCGCGCACAGACCTCACAATCGTGAGTTCATGCAGGACCAGGACTAACGATTTTTAAACGTGACGATACCACACGGATGCATCTTACGTGGCAACACGAGAGTTAACGACTCTGAACAGTTTGGTGATGGTGAAACGTGCGTAAAAGTGGTCGGTGGCGGTAATCTTGACCCACCTGCCGCAGGTGTCACTGCTGGTTCCAATCTCTCGACTATGTGCCTGGTCTGGAGGCATGGAGGACGCACTGATCGATGTTGTGGGAGAAGGAGTGAAGGATCCCGCGGAGGACGGGCCTCAGGATCAGTCCAGCCCGGAGGTTCCCGGTGACTGCCCCGCTGCCGTGTGTCCGACACCCAAAGCCAAAGGACCTACGTCTGTCAAGCCGCCGTACTCGTACATAGCGCTGATCACGATGGCAATTCTTCAAAGTCCGAAGAAGAGACTAACCCTGAGTGAGATCTGCGACTTTATCAGCCACCGCTTTGCTTACTATCGTGAGAAATTTCCCGCGTGGCAAAACTCCATCAGGCACAACTTATCGCTCAACGACTGCTTCGTGAAGATGCCACGGGAGCCTGGGAACCCTGGGAAAGGCAACTATTGGACTCTGGACCCAAACTCTGCGGACATGTTCGAGAACGGCAGCTTCTTGCGCAGACGTAAACGTTTCAAGCGGCAACATTTCCGGTTCGAAGCGCTCAAGGAGCAGCATCTGGAACCTAGTGTGCTGCCGGGCTTTACGCACGGAGCTTACGGACTTGGAACAGGGACTGTGCCGCTACCCGGACTGGAACTGTACCCATATTTCCAGCACGCACCATCTCCATGTTCCGCATCCATCCCACCCGTGAGCAGTCTACTACCGGCGCTGTCCAGCTTCTTCTCCCGAGGCGCGCTCTCAGCTAAGGCTCTGCTGCACGCACAGCCTGTGGCGCGGTGCACATACTCCGCTCCACTGGGCCCTGGGTACGGTCCCCCGCTCTTTCCTCCCGCGGCTCCTCAACTTCTCTCGGTGCAGGAATATCACAAAATCCAGGAAGAGCGCACTGTGGCCCCTCTGCCAAAACAGTGATTCCGCGCTCACTGACTATTCTCAGGTAACGGACTTTATCTGGACCGTGACCCTAAAGACTGAAGAACGCTGTACATAAAGACCCTTCTTACTCTGTCACATTCTTCATCTGACATAACTCTTTTATTAAAATATTTAAATAACGTTTCTGGAACATAATAAAGCTTGATATTAAAGCTTCATTTGCTCTCAAAGTGGATTTATTTTGGTCGTAAACCACAAATGTCCATCTTGATTTGTATTAACATGTGATCATCACTATAAACTAAACTAAATAAAGATAATGGATAAGTGAGGCATTAAAACGTCACCACGCTATTAAATGAAACAAAACATTTCAGTTGTGTAGCCTATGTGTAATAATATGACCACAGCGCAAAAAAAAAAAAAAAAAAATATCACTGCTCTTTATGTGGCCCAGACGCATAATCTGACGTCCCATTATCTGGGTCGGACATGTCTCTTGTCTGTCACTAAACCCGCGTTTTGACATATCACGTGACACTCAGGTGCACTTTGGCTTCGGCGGATTAGCGCGTGAAATCTTGATGCTGCGCTCAGTGTGGCCTCAGCGCTGGAGGCCTTCAGCCCGGCTCCGTTTACTAATTATTTTCAAACGACGTTTTGGTATTCTATACCATACTGAGTTATTTATGTTAAGCTGTACTGTATTTTGTATTTTAAATGGATTGTTTCATAAATTGTACGATTGGTAACTCACTTAAATAAATTAAACAAGGCCTACCGCGTTCTTGTCTTTCCATGATACCAGGCCTATATTTATTTTAATAAGTCTACAAAGACTTGTGTCAGTGTGAATTCGTGTGTCCAAATACCAGGAACAGTTCAAATAGGCTCTAGCTACCCCAAATAAAATAAGCTATTGTTTTCTTTTTGCAATATTTTAGACAAACAGGCTGCTAAAATATTTTAAACTTGTCTAAACATTCAAATTCATATTAGCCTATTTATACTTCATATCCTATCACATAAAACATAGGCATATTTGTAATATTTGTTGATATAGACTAATAAAAAAAGATCACCTGTCACAGTGATAAAACTGGGGGTTTATGTTTTCTCAATTCAACAACATAAAGTGATTTAACCTAAACAAATGACTTATATTGATTTACTTTATTATATTTTAACCAGTAACTTATACTTATGTGGGCCATTTGTTTCTATCTTCTAATCTGTCAGACGTGTTATTAGCTTTATGTTCCAGTTAGGTCTCCACAGCTCTGATAATAGTCCAATAATTGGATGTTGTGGAGCATGGAAGTATTTATTTAATTCTGCTCTGAGCTTGGTTAAATTTGATTAGCGAGCTGAGGTCCACACGCATGGGTTCAACTTTATCCAAATGAAGAGAGTGTACCTGATGAGCCCAGCTTCAGTTCACTCTGGTTTGCGGGTTTGTGGAGTTCAACCAAAAGATAAAGTTCTAATATTTGAGATAAAATGTGTGGATGGATTAATAATAAAAAAAAAAAAAATCACACACTGTTCCCTGAAAACCATACAATCTACACTGATTTAAGTCAAAGAGAAAGCAAACTAGATTTTGTAAATGTGACAAAATTATTAGTTATTTTCAGACCTTTTATAATGGAATGGGCTGATGCAATGACTTGTCGTAAATAATCAGAATAATTGATACATTTTGAAAGAATGCGTAAAACTTTGTCAATGTAAATGATTAAAACTTATGATGTTGCTTTAAAATTAAATCACACATTTTTTTCACATACAACTATTTAAACATCACATATCTGCCACAATATACTGCAGACTAATGAGAAAATTACCCATAACATTTTAATTAATACTGTATTAAACAAGAGGACTCTCATTGTATTAATACTGCCGTAGCCGAACAGTATTTTTTTTACATCCACCTGTGACCAATTAAGACAAACAGCAACAACAAAATGTATTTACTACACGCTAATACTTTCTCATTCTAAAATAATTCTTCAAATAATTATATAAATTTATTTTTCAGGCATGTTAAAAAGGGTAAAGCATTTGTTAAACTTTGAGAATAATTGTTTAGTTGTGCTTTGTGTGCAAACTAAAATAGGATTTATTTCTTATTATCCATGCTTTCAAAATAAATATGTGATGCACAAGTTAGTGTATCCAGCAAATCCAATTTACATTTGAGACTAGGTGAGCTTACCCAAAATGAATATTACTTTGCACCAATCAAGTCAGCCTTTATTTATACACATATTTGTTCTAAACTCTGTTGTGTGCCAATGTAAGCTTCACTGGGGAGTATAGTGTTAGTATAAGTGTACACTGCGCACTATGTCCAGATGAGCTGTGAGCGAGACCTCACTGTTTCTAATGAGCTCTGAAGACATTTGATGAAGTAAGTCTCCTGAGGTGCTGGAAGGCCAGGATTAGGACATGGATAAACAGTGAACACTGTAACAGCGACTGATTGGCAGCCAGAGAGGGGAGTCGGGGTCAGCGTCTGGGGAGGGGGAGCCCGTGCACCTGATAAAATAAGCACAGCACACACTCGAGCTGTGTGTGGTGAAGACTAGAGCTCATCAGTTTTCATTCTCAACGAGCAACAAGACACCGTAGGCTGACTCTGTGCGTCACTAGTGTGACACTCACATTATTAATCTTCTATTGCATGATCTTAGGTGGAACTTTTTATGATCTTCACTTTTCCATTCAGGGTTGCAGTAATGTAAATGTCATTGTGCTTAGTTGAATATGTTACTAGTGAGTGGTTTGGTGATAGCGAAGAAGTGATTGACTTTTGAGATGAATATAGGTTTGATGTGAGAATACTGTAGAAGTGTAGTACGTTCCACCACATTTTGTGCCTCCATGTGGACGTCATCTACGAACCGTCATAACTCATATTTCTCTCATGTGGAGCTCTGTCTGGGAAAAGTGCGAGGACTGAGTCAGAAGTCCTCCCAAGCTGAACAGCGCTGTAGTACTTTCATTCTCCACTGCCCACGCCAAACAAAACACGCAAGACAAACTCATCACTGTAGCTCCACCTCTCCTCCCACAAACACAAACTGGCAAATGTTTGACTGAAAATCAATGCATGTGTCATCTTGTAGAAGAAAACATTTAGGTCTTAAAATGTTCTGCTACATGTTTCTGCTTACATATTGATCCTCTTCCCATCATAGGTTGCAGATGATGACAATATGGGACCATGGGCAAGTACCTGAAGACTGCTTTTAGCATCGGACATACAGTATGACATGCATACACCAGCTTGAGTGATTTTGTGTCATTTGCCACTGTGTCCCCTTTTTTCTCACATTTTCTATAAGAAACGTTGCATGGGGTGGAGACAGGGGGGTTTAGGAAAAGAGTCGGAGCTAGAGGCTGCAATGATGAAAATGTAGAGAGTCTTTTTAGGAGTGATGATGACAGGTAGAGATATTTTGTACAGTGAAAAAGCAGTGAGCAGTGAGAAAAATATGTATGAGCTTTCAGTTGACCAAAGGTGGTCCAGAGTCAGCCAAAATAGGACATTTCAGTATTGTGTGAATGAGGACATGAAGTTAGTTAGTTTGAGAAAAGAGGACACAAAGGATGGAGGTACATGATTTGTTGTTATGACCCTTTAAATTGGAACAGCTCAAAGGCAAAGAATGAATTAAATTAACCTGGTATAGTGTCGCTGTCAACAAAAATAAGAGTCTTAATAAAATGTGGCTATAATGTGGTTCTGCAGCATTCAGTGTGACCTCTCTGTTGATGTAAGTGGTGCGTTGCATTCTGGGAGGACTCCTGCCTGAGCAAAAACAATGTCTGTGTTGTTTCAAGTGCTCTGAAATGCATAATTTGAAACACTTCTAAAGGACTTTCCACTCTTTTACTGTGCGTACAAAGGCTGCTTCACAAATCATCAGTTTGCCAGTCACCAATTTGTCTCTGTTTTTCACAAGTTCGATTGCTCAGCTGAGAAGCTTGACAGCAAATGTCCTGAGGTCTGTGGTTTTAGGTTATCATGTGTGACGCTGACACCTTTAGGTGAGCTGCAGAACTCACTTTAATGGCTGACTTGCACAGTCCGCACTTGCTCCTTGGTGTTTGCTTTTCCTGGCAGCGTCCGTCTCGGCTACCCTGCTTTGGGGAGTTATTCAATTATAAATCTTCCAACATTCGGCTTCGGCTTCCTTCTGTGATCGGTCTTTGCTTCACCTGCAGCCAAGCATAGTAAAACACGCTGCCGCAGCTCTTGTGCCCAACAGTTTACTAAGCCCTGGCACAGTAAAGAGTTCTTTTTCTGAATAAGGGACCCTTTTTGTAGCATCGGTGCCAACTCATGACTGTGACATATAGCAGGATAGCCACCCAAGAAGCAGAATGATCTCACACCTCAGCCACGCGCTCACAGCCTGTGCAGTTGGGGGTTAAGGCAACAGTAAAATCTAAACCAAAAAGAAACAATGAAAAAAGGAAATAAACAGCCATCTTTAGAAAGTAAAACACACAAGTGATCAAATAGCACTGTAGTACTCAGTAGGTGGCAGCGCTTCCACCTGTCCTGCAGCTCTCCACCTGGTGACCTCATGCCTGGATCTAGCCCTGTTCACAGAGTTAAGTGTGTGTAAGAGAGCTCCTTAACCTCAGTGAATGTGTCAAATTTCTGAAAAATGTTGATGCAAGTAATTAGAATAGAATACATTTACTATTTCATATATTTGAAAAAATATTTGAAAAAAATGACAGATGGTTGTCTTTGGCTTGCTGTTTCTCATATACATGATACATGAATGTGCAGTGTGTATGATAGTGGCGTGCATCTTTCTGGCATTTTGGTGAATACATCTAACTTGAAACAAAGGCTTATGTGTTGATTGCATAGGCTGCATATTCTATATATCAGCATTGGGTTGTCATGATATTGAACTAATGAACCGAGCAAACAGAAGAGGAAAGGATTTGTGTGTTAAGGGTCTTTTTTTGTATGTTTCACTGCGACTGCGCTGTTGTGTGGTGGTTGTATTTCAGTGTGGTTGTTGTTTGAGCAGCTCCCTTGTTCCAAAGAGTGGAAGACCAATAAAATTAACTAACTCATTTGATTTGAGAAGAAATTACACTTCGCTTATTATTTACTAACCACACTAGCAAACAGTGAAATCCTTAATTCACTTTTCAGTCAAGTTCAACAGAAAGCTGAAAATTATTGGTCTGCAAAAGTAATTTTTTCTTCATTTTTTGTTGAGTAGAAGCCATAGACCCACAGTGCTGTTATGCTGTATCAGACAGGCAGCAGCAGAGACTTGAACCACCCATACAGATCAATAAGTCAAATTATTTCATTGCCGCTGGAAATGTTTTATTTTATTCACTTTTTGGGAGTGTGCACAAAGGGGGGCTGCTTCATGTACTTAGGTCTGGAGAGAACTTTCCTCTCCACTTAC